CCTTCCCCTCCCTTCTCTCCTTCTAATTAGCAGACATTTTTATTGATCGCCTGAAATCCTCTTGGTCGGGGCTCAGGTCTTGGGGCAGACAGATCTTTTGGATAAACTTCTCTGGAGCCGCGACCCGTGCCCAAGTCCGAGGGGGGGAGGGCCCACCTGTTGACCACCCCCTCTCACCCCCTCTCCCTCTCCCCCTCACCCCCTGTGGTAATTACAGTCTAAAGAACTAGAGGTTATGTAAACACTCGTAATGGAGGATTCTGTTGTGGGTTCGGGCATATGTTTAACTTAACCTAACTTTTATTCAATTCAATTCAATGTAGACTGATATCAGAGAGACCACAGAGAGAGACCACAGAGAGAGACCAGAGAGAGAGACCAGAGAGAGAGGAGAGAGAGAGAAGAGAGAGATCAGAGAAAGACCAGAGACAGACCAGAGAGAAACCACAAAGAGAGAGCAGAGAGAGAGGGAGAGGGAGCAAAGAGACTGGAAAGACCAGAGAGCGAGAGAGAGAAACCATAGAGCGGCATAGTGCGGCATTTACTGGGCGGCAGTAACTCAGTTGGTAGAGCATTGGCCTTTGAGCCTGAAGGTTGTGGGTTCAAGCCCCGCTCAAGACTTTCACCATCAACTCCCACTGACTACTGTCGTTGTGTCCTTGGCAAGACACTTAACCTCTGGGAACACCAGCCACAGTGGGGCGGCTGCGGCTGTAAAGTGCCAAACTGCTGTTGTGTCCTTAGGCAAGACACTTCACCCCCATTGCCTAGAATGGTGTGTGTATGAATGGTTGGTGGTGGTCGGAGGGGCCGATGGCACATACTGGTTTCCTCGCTTCTGTCAGTGTGTACTACAGTAGTGGTTTATCACCACCGTGCTTGGAGTGAATGAATAATGACATGTGAAGCGTCTTTGAGTGTCCAAAAAAGCGCTGTATAAAACCGATGCATTATTATTATTATTATTATTAGAGAGACTGGAGAAAGACCATAGACAAGAAACCAAACACAACGAGTTTTAAAGTTGTGTTACCCAGTTACCCAGACTTTTTAAGAACTCACACTGGCCCTAATGTATGAAACTTGCGTACGGCCAAATCAGGATGTAAATGAGGCATACGCAAATAATTTACAGTTTTCGGTATTTATCAATTTGTGAGTGTACGGTACGCACAAAATTTACGCAGATTCAGGAGGTGGTTTTACACCCATTTCAACCTTCCTCACAACACGTCAAACCACGCATGAAAGTCAAACTCATACACGCATCCTTTCTCTCGCACAGAGATCGCTCCATTGCATTCACAAGAAGGTGCCGCTGACGCTTGACCCGGTTAATAATGAGAGTCACCGCTGATACATTAATATTCATTCATTCATTTATAAAGTTCAAGAGAGAGGAGTCCTGTAGAGGGTCTAGACACAAGGGAAAAAACTTGTACATATAATATAGCGAAATATACAGTATATATATTTCTTTTTAACAAAATAATGGAATAAAACTAAATAAAAACTCAGTGCGTGTCACTAACAGGCCTTTTGAGGCTTCCAATATAGTCTTGCTGGCCGACTCCCATGCTGTTCTGTCGTGAAAACGGGGCGTGAAACGAGCGGTTTCTGAATATTTACAGGCTTGACTTCAATAAATATAGTTTTGAGCGTGGCATTTATGAACAGCCGCGGCTGCGTACACTCAGATTCTGTGCGTATCTCACACGTTCATAAATCTTGCGGTGGATCTTGGTATTTGGAATCTTCACCAAAAATGTATACCCTGTTGTGCGCAAGTTTCATAAATGAGGGATTGAGAGAATCCCAAAAGTACACTCACCCAAATGTCCGCCTCCCCCCTCCCCTCCCCTTCACAGCTTTAACCCTGATGCCCTCTGGACCCTGCGTAGCCTCTTATGGGGGTCCCTCTAAGCTCAGTAAACTGCGAGGATGACGACTGCTAATTGGGTATTTAAACTAACGGCGCACGCTAATATTCTGCACAGATTAGCACACTGCAGAGATTAGCAGAGAATACAGCGGAACGCAGAAGAAATCATAAATTAGCCCCAAATCTGGCCCCAGTTTCAAAGCACCATATGTTTGTCCTGCAGCGCTGCTCTGACTGTAGTCACAGGTTTAAATTAGCATCTTTGTAAATCTGAGAGATATTCATGACCAACATATTGTTGACAGGATAATCTCACAACAAGGCAGCAGTGTCCACAGATTATTATGAATTATGGCCTGAGGTCCAGAGAGAGAGACCAGAGAGAGAGACCAGAGGAATACCAGAGAACAGAGAGAGATAGCAGAGAGAGACCAGAAAGGGACCAGAGAGACCAGATAGGAACCAGAGAGAGACCAGAGAGAAAGACCAGTTAGACCAACCAAAGAGAGACACCTGAGAAATAAGAGGAATAAGAGAGAGCAGAGAGGAACTAGAGAGAGACCAGAGAGATGCCAAAGAGAGAAACCAGAGAGAGAGAAAGAGAGACTCTACATGGTTGTGTTTCCATTACATTACTGTCGTATCCTTTAAACCTCTCCAAAAAAAAAAAACAGTTGTAGAGTGGTAGAACACAGAAAAGTAGAGTAGAATACAATAAAGAAGAGTAGAGTGACGTCTCTTTCCGGATCTTGTGTGTGAAAGCTGCAGTTGAAATCAAAGAGAAGTGAAGAAGATAAAAACGGCTTTGTCGCCTCATTCTTCTTCTTTTTGTGTTGGGTGTGAAATGTCTCACTATAATCTCTGACTGAGAGGCAGGAGAGAGACCAGAGAAAGACCAGAGAGAGAGACACCAGAGGGAGAGACCAGAGAGAGAAACCAAAGAGTGATTCAGAATCAGAATCAGAATCAGAATCATTTTTATTGCCACGTAGGTAACAGGAAGTCACAGACTTGGAAATTGCTTTGGCTCAGTGCAACAGTCAGAGAGAGATAATAAAAATAAAGAAAAAAAAATAAAGAATAAAAAACACTTCTAAGGAATAAATTTAAATTTAAAATAGAGTTACAGTTACTATTTACAATATACAAGTGCACATGGTGCACACAATGTAAGGTGACAGCAGTACAGTGAAGTAAAGTAACGTATGATTGGCAGTAAAGGGACTTTATAAAGGGCGGGGGGACAGGTTAAGAAGTGTTCGAGAGTCCAACAGCAGAGGGGAAGAAACTGTTCTTGTGGCGGGAGGTTCTAGTCCTGATGGACCGCAGTCTCCTGCCTGAGGGGAGTGGTTGGAATAGTCCATGTGCAGGGTGAGAGGGGTCGGCTGTGATACGACCAGCCCGGCCTCGAGCTCGGGCGACGTACAGGTCCTGAAGTGGTCCGGCCGATCACTTCCTCTGCAGAGCGCACAATGCGCTGTAGTCTCTGTTTGTCCCTGACGGTGGCTCCAGCGAACCACACGGTGACGGAGGAGGTGAGGATGGACTCGATGATGGCCGTGTAGAACTGCACCAACATCTGTGCAGGAAGCTTGGCTTTCCTGAGCTGCCGCAGGAAGTACATTCTCTGCTGGGCCTTCTTGATGAGGGAGCTGATGGTCGGCTCCCACTTGAGGTCCTGGGTGATGGTGGTGCCCAGGAAACGGAAGGACTCCACAGAGGTGATGGGGGAGTCCATCACGGAGGGTGGGGGCGGGGGGACAGTGCTCTTCCTGAAGGCTAAGTGATTGAGGCCTTAGCCATCCGTACCCTCCGCTCAATCATCATTTTCCTGCATGTAACGTCTGGGTCTGGTCCCTGTGTTTGCGATTACATCAGTTGAATTCCATCCGACCAATCAGAGAGCGCGGGAGGCGGGTGTTGTGGTTAGTTGTGGGCGACGTCAAGAATTTGCGCTGAACGGGCAGGTTGTAGTTTGGCAATGGCAAAGAGTGCGATAGTAAAGTAATCCGGTCTGGTTCTATCAAGAAATTGAAGCCGGAGTAAAATGTACTTTCTTGCAAAGATTGTGGCGCTACGCCCCACGAGCTCCGTTAGCGGTAAAGGAGATGGCTAGGCTAAATGCTAATGACTCACTCGGGCGCATTACATACTTCACGGTAAACTCAGATCCAATCATTTCAATCTGCAAAACGAGCTAACCCCTCCTATCTGTAAACAGAGTTCAATGGAAACCTTAGTATGAAATGTAATTAGTACTATGGTGTGGTACGACCAGGCTATGTGTGTATTGTTTATGGTTGCTTTTTGCATTTTTTATTTTATGATTTTCTCGTATTTTTGTTTAGTTTTTGTTTAGTTTTTTTTGTTTGGTCTCTCTCTCTCTGGTCTTTAAATAAAAAAACAGAGAGAGAGACCAGAAAGAGGCTAGAGAAAGACAAGAGCGAGAGATAAGAGAGAGATCAGAGAGAGACCAGAAAGAGACCTAAGAAAGACCAGAGAGACCCAAAAATCATAGAGAATCAGAGACAAAGGCCAGAGAGAGAGAACAAAGAGAGAGACCAGAGAGAGACCAAACAGAGGGAGAGAGAGAGAACTAAGAGGACTCTACTTTAAACAACTCTACATGGTCGTGTTTCTGTCACAGGGGTAAAAAAGCAGGTTCTTCGGACCCGGATTTAAAAAGGGACCACTGGATTAAAAGCGAATTAAAAGCAATTTATTATAAAATACATTAAAAACAAGTAAATAAAAGCAATAAAAACCTAAGCTAAAAAACAAGGCAAAAAAGCTAAAACAGAGGCTAAAACAGGCCAAAATGCATCCCCACGGCCTGGGCCGCCAGACCACGGGGCTCTCACCCGCCGCGCCTGGCTCCCGTGTCTGGCTCCCTCTCCGTTTCCCTTTTCCTGCCCCCTCCCCATCTCCTTTTGTACCGTGGCACAGGTGTTCTAATTGTCACGTGGGGAGCCGGGGTGCTTCAGGTGGTGCAAATTAAAATCAATATTAAAAACACACACACACGACATGCATAAAATATAAAACAAACCATATTAAAACCCACCACCCATTTTGCACCCCTCGACACTCCCCCCTGCTTTAATAATAGCAGTCCCTGCTAGTTCGTGAACACCTGTGCCTTTCCATCGCTGGGGAGAGGGTTCACCTCCGCAGCGCGCCTCCTCCGCCGTGCCTTGCTTTTTGTCCGCTGCGCCCCCGGGTGAGCCGCGTCCTCCTGTGCGGGACCACTCGCGCATCCCTCGTCCTCTTGCTGCTGCTGACCGGGCCCACCTGCACCACACACACCAGAGGCCAGCACAAACCCACACACCCGCGACCCTCGGGCCGTAAGCCTTTGACGAGCACCACTACACCACATGCTCATACTCACAGGCCAGGCAGACCTCCAAGTCTGCCCCTGTCTGTATCATGCGTCGTGGTGCTCTCACTCTAGGTCGCGGATGTGGCGCTCCTCTCCTGCGCGCTGCGTGGATCTAGGGTGGCCCACCCGGCTCCCAGCTCGCAGTCCAGCTCTCATTGTGCGCCCTGTCCTCCGCGCCTTTCCATGCGCCCACCCTTAATTCCTTCGGGCATCCACCGAGCAAGAGCCATGGCCTCTACTTGCTTTTTTTTTCTTAAAACAGTGGTACCGGGTCCTGCCAGACAACGCCAAAATGTCACAGGGGTAAAAAAGCAGGTTCTTCGGACCCGGATTTAAAAAGGGACCACTGGATTAAAAGCGAATTAAAAGCAATTTATTATAAAATACATTAAAAACAAGTAAATAAAAGCAATAAAAACCTAAGCTAAAAAACAAGGCAAAAAAGCTAAAACAGAGGCTAAAACAGGCCAAAATGCATCCCCACGGCCTGGGCCGCCAGACCACGGGGCTCTCACCCGCCGCGCCTGGCTCCCGTGTCTGGCTCCCTCTCCGTTTCCCTTCTCCTGCCCCCTCCCCATCTCCTTTTGTACCGTGGCACAGGTGTTCTAATTGTCACGTGGGGAGCCGGGGTGCTTCAGGTGGTGCAAATTAAAATCAATATTAAAAACACACACACACGACATGCATAAAATATAAAACAAACCATATTAAAACCCACCACCCATTTTGCACCCCTCGACATTTCCGTTACCTTTTAATAATATATTTACTCCGTATCCCAGCAACGAGGTCTACTTTACGCTACTCTTTTGGGGAGAATGGCGTAAAGTAGAGTAGAACACAGAAAAGTAGAGTAGAATACAGTAGAATACAATAAAAAAAGAGTAGAGTGACGTCTCTTTCCGGATCTTGTGTGTGAAAGCTGCAGTTGAAATCAAAGAGAAGTGAAGAAGATAAAAACAACTTTGTCGCCTCATTCTTCCTCTTTTTGGGTTGAGTGTGAAATGTCTCAATATAATCTCTGACTGAGAGGCTAAAGAGAGACTGGAGACAGAGAGACCAGACAGGGAGACTAGAGGGAGACCAGAGAGAGGCTAGGGAGGGACCAGAAAGAAAGTCCAGAGAGAAACCAGGGTGGGACCAGAGAGAGACCAGAGAGAAAGACGAGAGAGAGACCAGAAAGAGACCAGAGAGAGGCCAGAGAGAGACCAGGGAGAGACCAAAGAGAGACCAGAGAAAGACCAGAGAGAGACCAGGATGGGACCAGAGAGAGACCAGAGAGAAAGACCAGAGAGAGACCAGAAAGCAAGTCCAGAGAGAGACCAGGGTGGGACCAGAGAGAGGCCAGAGAGAGGCCAGAGAGAGACCAGAGAGAGGCCAGAGAGAGGCCAGAGAAAGACCAGAGAAAGACCAGAGAGAGACCAGAAAGAAAGTCCAGAGATAGACCAGGGTGGGACCAGAGAGAGGCCAGAGAGAGACCAGAGAGAGACCAGAAAGAGATCAGAGAGTGGTCAAAGAAAGAAAACAAGAGGATATTAAACATCACTTCATAAAGTTGGTCCGAAACAAACACATAGCTAAACACTGAATACAAAAGTAAAACTCTTTTATAGTATTGTTTTAGATCGATGTGAAGATTGCAGATGTAATAAAACCATGAAAACTTGTGATATTAAGTTTACCCTCACAAACACATTTTCTATGGTCTCTCTCTGTGGTCTAAATGCAAATATGCACCTTATTGTCCACGTGGGGGAATTTGTCCTGCATTTGACCCTCCACTTGGGCTTCCATCAGGATCTTTGGTCCCCATAGTAAAGTGTCCAGGGACCCATCTCCAGATGCTGGTACTCGGCTTGGTCAGGACCCGAGATGGAAGATTCACCTATTGTGCATGTTTTTAGTGTTTTAGTGTTTTTAGTTGAACTCCACTCAGAAAGACCCGACCGCGATTCCAACCCTCTCTTACTGAGAAGCGAGAGTGCTATCCACTCAGCCACCCTACCGCCCTCTAAAACCATAAAAACGTCGTCATATGAACTTTACCCTCCCAGACACACATGGTATCAGTGGGAACTCTCTCAGACCAAAGGACAAAGGTGCAAAGCTCTTATGGTAATAACGAAACTGTAATGTGATGGACGGAGTGTTATTCTCCAGAGAAATTGAAATAGCAGATTATATTAAAGCTTCCGTACACAAATAATCTATATGGTACGTATGGAATATAATCCAGGGTCAGGGTCAGGTCTATGATTTTGAACCATTGTAAACTCGTTCTGTATTTAAACTGGTGTCTTTATTTTAAAGAAGCTCTTTCTGTGGCACCGGAAGTCCAGAGAGAGAGACTAAAGAGAGAGATAGTGACCTGTGAGAGAGTAGAGAAAGAGACCAGAGAGCGGGACCAGAGAGAGAGACTAGAGGGAGACCAGAGAGAGACCAGAGAGAGTGAACAGAATGAAATCAGAGAGAGAGAGAGACCAGAAAGACCTGTTCTGTATCTACAGCCTCGGTTCTGTTTGGTCCGACAGAAAATAAACTGTAAAAGTTCATAACATAAAGTGAAGTTGTATAAATCCACTCGTATTAAGATTAAGAGAAATCTCACCTGGATTATGTTCCTCTAATATAAAGTGGTTATCTGTGTAAGCTGCTGCCCTTGTGCCCTCGGGCTCAAGACTCAAATTATGTTAAAGGGACAGAAGGCAAGCCAAGGTTATCTGTATCGCATAGTTCATACACAAGGTAAGGAAGAAACAAGGCTTAAACTTATAAATAATCACAGAACATCAAAAAGATAAAATCCTTCAGTTGTTACAGAAACAGAACTGTTTTAACCTGGATTTGAGTCTTTGGAAGAAGTCTGTGTCACATTTTCAGGAAGACTGTTCCAGGAAGATTGTTTCTTTTATTGGTTTATTAAAGTAATTAACCTTTGTCTTATCTATCACGCAGGACGCTCTAAAGCGGTGATGGTCGAAACCCAAGAACTCACATGACTCTATGACTGAGACCAGAGGGAGATCAGAGAGAGACCAGAGAGAGAGACCAGAGAGAGACAAGGGAGTTATTTTTGAGAGAGAAACTGAAGAGAGAGAACTGAGAGAAAGAACAGAGAGAGAGAGAGAGAGAGGCCAGAGTGAGATGTCACTTGCTGGTTCACAGCTACAGTATATACAGTCTACGTTAGCATTGTCCATCTGTATATAGTCTGTGTTGATGACCTGGTCCTGGTCTCAGTCCCGGTCTTGGTCCAAGTCCTGGTCTCTGTCCTGATCCCTGAGGAGACTCAGCTGATCTGCAAATAATGAAAGTGGAAACGGTACGTTTTTCTCTTGAATCTGAGTCACATTTTACAGAATCTCTCTCCATCCACACAAAGACACGCTCACACACACACACACATCAATAAATATGTGTCTGTGTGTCTCTGCATGCGTGTGTCTGTGTCTTCATACTTGGCTCTTGACTCATGGTTCTCATGATTGATGTATTCATTAATAAAATTGGTGTGTTTTTCCTGTTATATTCCAACGCTTCCTTCCGTGGAATTCCTTGTGATCCGTAGCAACAGGAGGAGATCAAAGCACAGGTAACATTATGCAAATGAGCACAAGGAAATACTGCTCTGGAAATCTCCACAAATATCAATAATAATTATTAACTTAGTCTTGCAGCCTCAGTCATGGGTCTACAGCCTCAGTCCTGGATCTACAGTCTCAGTCCTGAATATACAGACTCAGTCCTGGGTCTACAGCCTCAGTCATGGGTCTGCAGCCTCAGTCCTGGATCTACATCCTCAGTCCTGGATTCAGAAGCCTCAGTCCTGGATCTACATCCTCAGTCCTGGATTCAGAAGCCTCAGTCCTGGATCTACATCCTCAGTCCTGGATTCAGAAGCCTCAGTCCTGGGTCTACAGCCTCAGTCCTGGGTCTACAGCCTCAGTCCTGGATCTACATCCTCAGTCCTGGATTCAGAAGCCTCAGTCCTGGGTCTACAGCCTCAGTCCTGAATATACAGACTCAGTCCTGGATCTACAACCTCAGTCATGGGTCTGCAGCCTCAGTCCTGGATCTACATCCTCAGTCCTGGATTCAGAAGCCTCAGTCCTGGGTCTACCAGTCCTGGATTCAGAAGCCTCAGTCCTGGATCTACATCCTCAGTCCTGGATTCAGAAGCCTCAGTCCTGGGTCTACAGCCTCAGTCATGGGTCTACAGCCTCAGTCCTGGATCTACATCCTCAGTCCTGGATTCAGAAGCCTCAGTCCTGGGTCTACAGCGTCAGTCCTGGATCTACATCCTCAGTCCTGGATTCAGAAGCCTCAGTCCTGGATCTACATCCTCAGTCCTGGATTCAGAAGCCTCAGTCCTGGATCTACATCCTCAGTCCTGGATTCAGAAGCCTCAGTCCTGGATCTACATCCTCAGTCCTGGATTCAGAAGCCTCAGTCCTGGGTCTACAGCCTCAGTCCTGGATCTACATCCTCAGTCCTGGATTCAGAAGCCTCAGTCCTGGGTCTACAGCCTCAGTCCTGGATCTACATCCTCAGTCCTGGATTCAGAAGCCTCAGTCCTGGGCCTACAGCCTCAGTCCTGGGTCTACAGCCTCAGTCCTGGATCTACATCCTCAGTCCTGGATTTACAACCTCAAACCCGAAACAGCCGGTTAGAGGTGTTTACCACATGCGTCCAGCTCTAATGCCATCAGATCTCTTTCAGACATAATCCCAAACTTTGAATATGTAAAGATTAAAGATGTAGAGATTACTGCAGTATTGTTGTCCTCTGGGTTTATCCTGTGTTTGTGTCTCACTGTTTGAGTCATAATCACCCTTTGTTTTCTACACATTCCCTTTTATCAGAAACACACTGTTTCACTGAGGGATTTAGGAAGAGTAAACACAAACACGTACTATTTTGCATAAACACATGGACAAATGTTATAAGTTCATGTCTCTAAATCAGTTGCTTGAATAGCGTAATGTGTTTTATGTGCTGACATATTTGCAATCTCGCCCAGACATAGAATTAATGCTTTTGTATGGCGCCTACTTTCCTCTCGAGAACGGCTTTACAGGATGGTCCAAAAGTTGGCTCTTGGCCCAAAGCTACTTTCCAGATATATTTCAATGCAGAGTGTTTTCTTTTGGACCAG